AGAGACAAAAGGTCGGGGGGGGGCACGCCTCACGCGTTATGGTCATCTCACGTTCGACACGCAGGCTGTTAGCCTCGAAACAGCTTTCACATCGCTCATATTGGCTAGGCGGGCAACATGCCGACCAACAGGTAGGTTTCCAACCCCCGCTCAGCTCCCCCGTGCCACGCCCATCACTGCCCCCGGTAAAGCGGAATGGATCTGTCGTCAAAATCCGGCCAGATACTCTCGCTCTTACTAGCTTCACCCTCGGGCGCAGCTATCAACGACTACCCTGACAAAACTACTAATCTACTAACTAAACTAACACCGTCATCCTGTTCGCCACACCAGGAAACCTCAACCTTGCAGTTTCTCTCTCCCGATCCCCACCTACATCAAACGAGGTAAGCAATTCCTTTCCCCGCCATGCCCATACTCCCGACAACACCGCACATCGCTTTTCTTAAAAATCCCCTTCCCTACTGATTGCCTGGCCAATCCGACTTCAAGTTCGGTGTCACCCGACCTCAAACCCCCGGGTTTGAGTCTTTGTTCGTTCGTTTTTATCGAGAACGAACGAACTCAGTTTTTCCTACCCCGTCCCTCTTCACTTCCGCCGTAGCCCCTCGCACCCCTATCCTCCACTACTCTTTCCACACCGACCTTCTTGCAATTCCGGTCTCAGATTCGGGGTTGCAAGCCCCGAAAATCTCCACATAGCCGCCTTCCCGGCTCGATTTTGTTAAGAATCGAGCAAACAACGCCCCGCTGACCGCGCCCCACTCCCTCCTCCGTAGCTCCGCACTCACCCGGTCGCGACCCCCGTCCAGGTTCATCCACCAACTTTCACCGTTCGTCACCTTGCCCTTCGTATTCCTGGCAGCAGGCGGACCAGGTTGACGTCTCCCCAGCCTCCTCCTCCCGGATAACACTTAGCGCTGCGCATCCTTCCCGACTACCCCGAATGTCGAAAAACTGTCGAAAACTGTTCGATAGACAAAACTCTTCGCCACTCCGACCGATCCTCCCACCTTTACCACTCCCCCTACGCCGTACTACCACATTCCCAACGCCGCCAGCACCTGCCACTCCTTGCACAGTCGCCTCACCTACAGCCCCACTATACCGGCTGGCCAACTCCACCGCCCCTGCGTGAACCTGGCGGGACCCACGACTAGGTCCCCTCCCCTTCTTCGCGCTACCCTTATGCGGGTSAGGCCGCGTGAAATTCCCCCGTATCGCTCCAACTTTGGCAGATGTCCCGAAGGACCTGGCGCAGGCCGACGYCGCCTCCCCCCTAGCCTGTATGCATCTGGCGTGGCCGGCGTCCGGGTCCATTCTAATTCTTTGTGCCCCACTCTTACGCAGGGTTGCATAAATCCTYTTCCCATCACTACGAAAGCCCCGAAGGGCTCAGGCCGGGGTAATGCCCCGTGGCGGCGCRAAAGGCCGCCCGGCCTCCCTACCTCCGGTTTATCACTGGGTTTTGCGGYCGCGAACYAGTATCGGGTCTTCAACCAAAAACGGGGCCATAACCCCCGAATAAAAAAAATAAAAATTACTAAGAGCGACAAAAAAACCAACCCAGACATCCCGAAACACCGTTGGAGGGTGGAGGAACTGGCCTAGTGCCAAAGGACGGGGCCCCGCGACCGGACTCCCTCGACARCACAAAAGGGGGATAGTCCCACAGGACCCTCAACCCCTTAGCCTCCCGCTGCTCCAGTGTTCYCGYGCCGCCTGCCGACCTCGATCCCTAAGTCTCCGTAASAGTAGTCCCTTGTCATAGCCTATAGGGCTATGCYYCAGCTTGGGACAACTAGGCRCGRATYYCAATATGAAATTGTGCYGYGCCGTGCCCCRGCCTGGGAGCCACAGCCTAGGCCCTCCKTTCCCACCTGCAACCGGYGCGCCAACACTAGGTAYCCGCRCCGGCCTACTCGGACCGYGYCGTCACCACCCCGTGTGCCTASTGSCGTGCCWGTCCCACCGTCGATCACGCACACCACCYWGAAAYGGGCTTTCATCCCCTAAACAAAACCGTAGCAYGGTCCARGTYSGTCGACTAGACCGGCCGCTCACTCTATCAGAAAAATCACACGCGCGCCTTAAAACTGCKCGCCCACATACCCTCTWACTTAGTCAGGACGGGTCCAGGACGAGGCCGTACCTCGCCCGACTTATGCCGACCAAACCCATTTTTCTGTCATTTGCAAAAACCAGGGCGGATACCCTTGTAAGGGTATTCGCGCCAACAGCCTACCGGACTATATTAAGCGACGTCCCCGTCACTACGCCAAATCAAAAAGCTACAAACTCATTCACACTCCAAATGCTGACGAGAGCGGAACCAATTCCGATTAGCCGACAGACTTAGGGTTGAGGCCTCCAACACTCCATGCCAACATAACTATATGCTGCCAGGTTTCTAACCTGGGTCTCCATTGCCCTGACACTAGGACGCAGGTGTATTACACATCGATACTACAGCATAAGTTCCAAAGGCCACCTGAAACCATCCTCTCCCCTTTTGTCCTAGACAAACGTCGGCTTCTCGTTGAGTGTCCCGGCTAGACTCTATCTCGTAATCAGAGTCACACCCAGGGACATGGGCCTTAGATGAGACCTCAGAAGGCACTCTCGCCTCCCTCGCGAAAATTCTCACAAGCAAACATACATATATATACATACATAAATCTCCTCTCAGCTCTTTCTGCAATCTAGTACAAAAATGCTAGGTCTTCATTCTGACCCACCATAGTCTGGTTGATCGAGCCAGATCTACGGCCTACCGCATTGTTATCTTAGGGGCAGTCCTTTCGTTGGTTATGCAACGATAGGTTTTCTCCTGATGGGCATTCAATCAGGGCGCCCAAACGACTTGACTTGTATCCCCCGTCATTCCACCAAAGTAATTTCCTTGGGGCGTGCATAATCTCTTAAACTCTTACTCTGCTGGTAGATGTGGGCCCGCAGCCACGTTGTGCTGACTTGCAGCCATCCAATAGGGGTTGCGCCCTAGGGGTGCTAGCCTTTACCGTCTAGCTTGGTACTCCTCAGTATGCCTTAGGATTAGCACAAGTGTCTAGGCGGTGCGTTGCAAAACAAACTTACAGGACCACTGCAGGACAACGCAGGGATCTACCCTACTTTTAAGGGTATTTACCAGCCTTCTATGAGACAATATAGAGGGCACGACCCCTTCTCACAATCACAAACAATTTCACCGCTAGGCTCACACGAGGCCGTGTCTTACTGACTTGATCAGAAACAACAAACCACACATCCCACGACATCTTTATGCACTGACTTGCGACCTTCTCAGTTCTACCAATTATTCCAACTCGTAACTCTGGTTCCTTTCGTCGGACTTTATCATTTAAACATTGCTTACCATGTCCTTAAATCTACCCCCCATTTTTCCCATGAAGGGGGTCTCTCTCAACAGGTCTCCCAGCCACCCCTCTTTTTACAAGATGGACTATCACGCGACCTGGGTTACACTGCTGTCAATAAACAACACCCCCACCTTCCATAATCTGAGGGGGTCTCAATTATAAAACAACTCAACTGAGGGGCCTTCTTATGGGCCGTCTCCCCAACTTAAACGCAAAACAACTCAAACTAAGGGGCCAACTTATGGGTCCCCTTTACAACTCAGCCATAAACATTCAGCATGGTAAGCATCCGAGCCTTATAGGCTCGCAAGACCCCCCAGGGTCCTCATACATCTGTCACAAAAACGACCGCGCTGCCTCCTCTTATACCCGGCCGTTCCGCCCGCCCATGGGCAGGCCGCACGAGTATACCGAAGAGTAGACGGCAATCACAATCACACAATACACATATATGAGATGTATCCCACACATCTCTCACACAAAGCCCTCATTCATTAGGATAAAGCCACACGTGTGAGAGTGATCGTGATCGTCACAAGAATAAGTCCCACAGAGTCTGGAATCAAAGATATACTCGAGAGCAAAATATCTCCCTCAAGTCTCAATACAACACTCAACTCAAGCTCTCACACACACAATTCCTAGGATATACCTAGGAATAGGATGCCCGCCCCAGTGAACAACTTAGCCTTTAGTTCCCTGTACACTCTACAGGGTGGACTCACATCCCAGGTGTTATGGCTCTCAGGATCCAATCAGAAATGTAAAGAAGGTTTCCAAACCTCCAAACCTAATGTACAAATCACACGGTCACAGGTATCTCAAAACTGAATCTCACCCGCCGAACTGTATCACACACAAAACCAGTGACCGATTGAGCCCTGCCACCTATGTATGTACAACTAGACAAGACTCCCACGGCGAACTCAGATGTGCACACCCATTAGGACCCACTCAACCGACCCAGAGTACGTACTTCCCTAACCTGACCTCTGGGTACAGAGGAACTCTAGTCCTACTGTCATATAGACAGGCCAGCCCTTACTCACTCATGGCCTCCTGGTTCTGCCTATACAGTTGTGCCCTACCCCCATTTGGAGCCCGCTTTACCACTCGCCCCTGTCTGTCGTACATCCTCCCACCACTCTCTGCCACTCTCCCAGCCGCCTTGTCCTTGAGGAACTTCGGGCATTCAAGAGCCCTATGTACGCCGTCCTTGCAGAAGAAGCACTGATCGTCTGATCTCCCCTGATACCTCCTCTTCTTCTTCTGGGACCCAGGCAACGACGTCGTCTCGCTAGTTTCCCTGCTCTTCTCGTGGCTCTGGGGCATACTCCATGACTCTGTCGGCCCTGCCTTCATCATCTGGGTACTCGGCCGTGCTAGCATCTCACCTCCCTCAGGTCGGTACGCTGGAGTGTCCAATCTCAGTGGCCTACCCCCGCGGACTCCTCCCATCGCAGTCGCCCCCTCGTCCCTATGCAGGTCAGAAGGCTGGGGAGTCACGGCAGTCGCTGGCTCGCTCATAACTTCCTGCTGCTACTCTGAGATGTGCTCTCCTGAGTCAGCTCCAGTAGGCCAGGAGCCTAACTGCGTCCTCAGCCCCCCCATCTCTGGCACACGCTCTGGGGTCTTCTGTCTCTGAGGCTCTCCTCACGGCATGTCCAACTCCATACCTGCCACTAACTCATCCAGTCGAGACACCTCTCCCCGCATTGCCTGGTTCAGTGGATGCTGCTGCTCCCGTAAGGGCACCCTCCTGCACCTCCAAAAGGATCGTAGGGGACTCCTCTGTGGGGCCCCCTTCCTCCTTTAGAGGTTGGGGTCTCTGCGCCAGCTCGCCCTCAGGGATCTCAATCGTCATAGGGGTGGCTTGTTGCGAGGCCAACTCCGTGGGCGTCCTGAAGCTGAACCTCCCCTCCTCGGCCTCCCGCCGTGCTGCCGCCTCTATTGGGTCCAGGAATACCTTCCCCATACCTCTTTGCTGAGGTGGCTCTGTCGTCCCTTCCCGGCCAAAGAGCCCCTGTACCTCCTTCCCCTGGATACCATATCGGCTCTGCTCCGTCCAGTCGACCACCTTAGTGGCCGAGAGCCTCTCCACCATCGCCGCCATGTCCTGAAGCCTCTTCTCCCATTCCGCTTCCTTGACTTCCATACGGGACCTCCATGCTTGGTTCTCTCGCCTCTCTTCTGCCAACTGGGTGGACAACTGTCCCACCTCTAACCTCGAGGCCGCCAACTCATCGCTAAGCATGGAGTACCGTTGGAAGGATGAGATCCCCACCTCACCTATCCTCCTATCTGCACGCTCAATCTCCATCCTGGCGGCTGAAAATCCCAAGTCCTCTGTCTCTCATGCCTCGTCCAATCTTGCACTCCCCTGTCCTACCTCTCGGGACCTCAGGCGAGCAACATCCCTCTCACCCTCATAGCTGGCCCAGTTCTCGCTAATCCTCTGCTTGCTCGTCAGAGGGTCAATCGGTGGCTTCGGCGCTTCTCCTGCGGCCTCCATCCTAATCTTCTCTTGGTATAACTCCTCGAGGCGTACCTGCACCCTCGCGCGCTTCTCTTCTTTCGTCTCCCCTGATGGCCTCCTTGCCCGCGCCTCATGGGCCTCTCGCAGTGGGTCTCTCTCACTCGTCCCCTCCTCTGTGGGTGGCGGCCCTGGCGGAGGCTCCCTTGATGTCGGCACCTCCACATCCATGCGTTCACCTATAGGCTCAGTTAGTCGTGGTGCCATAGTAGTAGGTGTCCTCGCCCTCTCGCCCTCCTCTGGCCCCACCCGCATCGGAGGTGGCGTACTAGCTTCCGATGGAGGCCCCAACATCTCCTCGCTGTTTGGCTCAGGAATTCCTTCAGGCCAATACTGCCGCGCCTGTTCTGGAATCGGGGTAGGAGGAGGGGTATCATCCCAACAGTGATAACCCCCTCTGTCTGCGGCTCCCCGGGTTCGCGAGACCCCGCCTCAGGCCCCGACTCAGGTGGCTCCTCCGCTGGCTCATACCGTGCCGGTCCGCTCTGGTCCGCTCCCAGTTGTGACACCCCCCACTGGGACGCATTGAGATGAGCCTCCAACCTGTCGAGCGGCGTCCTCAACGGCACCGCCTCTCCCCCCTCTGGTAACGTCGGCGATGGGCCCCGTAGATCACTGCCCGTGATTCGGCGAAACTCCACCTGCTCGAGTCCATAGGTAAGGGGTAGCTCCGCCGCCTGAGCTGGCCCTGCGGCCTGAACTGGCTCCACCGCCTGGGCGGCCTCTGCTAGCCCCTCTCGCTGTGCCAAGGCCTTCCGGCCCCCTCTGGTCGTAGTGGTCCCTCTCGCCTCTGGGCCTCGTGGCCTCTTATTCCTTTGTCGTCTCTCCACCCTGGGCTCTGGTCTCTCGGGCTCAAGTCGTCGAAATGCCTGTCTCAACTGGGCCTCGCAGTCCTCCCAGTCGTGTGCCTTGTCCCGGATCTGCCTCGCGAACGACCTCTCCGCCCTCTGTGTCTAGAGGGGCAGCATCTGCATCCACTCCTCTTGCCCAGTCCCCTGGTCGCGCATATACTGCTCATAGGCCGGGATGAACTCCTCCGCATTGCCTTCCTCCAATCGAATAGGCATTCCATCCGGTCCCATCGGCGAAGCCCTCAACATCTGCATCCTCGCCTCCACATCCTGCCATGTCAACGCCTCCTCTTGAATGTGCGCAATAGGCTCCTCGAAGCGCCTAACTCCCCTCAGGTGCCGTATCCTTTCCAGGGTAGACCAGCCCTCCGGTGTCGCATGTGCCTGGTAGGAGTCTGGAAAAAGCTCTATGTTACCGTCGTCGAAGATAGGCGTAGACTCCCTCCCAACCGGTTTGCGCGAGTCATCCCCTCCTGATGCTCCCTGAGGCCTCTGTCGTGGCCGCGTGCCCCTCCCGCCCCTCTGCATGGATGTCTTCGAAAAGTCAGACCTGCACAACAGGCGAGAGAAAGCAAGCAGGCACACAACAAGGTTAGCCCTCGGCTCATCAAGTTTTTATGACAATACACATGTCTTTTCCTACTCCCTCACCTGTCCTGACCATAACATGCGATACCTCAAGGACCAGTCTACTCTGAGAAAGGTAGAATTCTTTACCTATTCCCTTGCCACAAACTTCTTCAGCCTGGTCCCTGATACCCAATCCTGCCAGCCTGTCCCATCTAGCTCCTCGATTTGATAGGCCCCAAATTCGCCGCATCGCAATATTCTATAGGGGCCCAACCATCTCTTGCCAAGCTTCCTCGACCATTGCTTTTCCAAAGAGGAGTCGTATAATAATACGACATCCCCTGCTGCCAATGGCTCATTTCTTACTCGTGCAATCTGGTCCCACCTCATCTTATCTTCCATGCGACCCCTTTCCACCTGACCAGCGGGCTCTCGCAATCATTCTTCGGCCGCCCCCACTTGCTGCGCCCGAATATCGAGCAGTTCTTCGAAAGACAGGTTCACCTCCAAGTCCTGGTGCCTCCACGTCTTCATAAAGCTTTCTATGGGAAAGGTGGCATGCCTTCCGTACCATAGCGTGGCTGGCGCGTACTTGGTAGTTCTCTTTACAGTAACATTCTCCACGAAGAAAGCTGCCCGTAGGAACTTCGGCCACTGACCTAGTTTGACCTCTGTCCACTTAGCCAGGAGATTCGTGATGGTACTGTGCCCCCTCTCCACAGGAGCGTTTGCTTGAGGGTGTGCAGCCGTAGTATAGTTGGCCACTACGCCATACTCTGCAAGCAACGTCCTCACCTCATTGCAGGTAAACTCTGATCCTCGATCCATCACGAACTCCCTGACAAAAGGGTATCGCAGGTAATACTCCTCGATGCAGTTCGCCAGAACCGGGCCAGTCTTCGTCTGGATGGCTCGTCCGTCCACAAACCCAGTAAGGTTATCCCGTGCATCGAAGATGTAGTTACACCCATTCTCCCCTGTTGGCATGAATAACAGGTCCAGGTGTACGACCGCACCCACTTCCCTTTCTAACCTTGGGTGTAGGGGTTCTTCAGGCCTTTGCGCTGACCTCTCTTGGCAAGGTATACAGGACCGGCAGTATTTGATAACCATCGTCAACATCTCGTCCCAATGGTAGAGCTCACTTATCTTCGCGCATGTGGCACCTACTCCTCTGTGCCCCCCTGCTATACCATCGTGTAGGGCCGCTATGATATCAATTTGTCGGTTTCTCCCACATACGATCCTCTTGGGGTTCCCGACCTGCCGCTTTATAAACAAGTGGCCATCTCTTACCACATAGAGGTGCCTCATCTTCTGTGCCTTGGCACTTGCATCTCTATCCCTCATCTCACATGATAGTAGCAACCCCTATTCCCGGTAGATCCCATCGTACTCCTTCGCCCGAAACGCCTCCTTGATTTCTCCTTCCTCGAATTCGTCGTCTCGACTTTCAGGAACCAAAATCTCGTTCTCCTCGTGACTGAACGAGCCCTTCCGGTCGAAGTCTCCCTGCAGGAGCTTATTGGTGAGCAGGTACATCCCTCCCATTAGCTGCTCATGCTCCTCTACCTGAGTGGGGCCTTCCTCTATTGTCCTCACTTCCTCCACCAGACTGTGCGTACCTGCCAACGCCAACTTCATCATCCAACCAACATCCTTACTTCCCCACGGATCCTCTTCCTGAAAGGGCTTGAGGACTAACTCTTCCTTCTGCTCGTACCCCTTTGGTGCCAGCCATATGGGGTGACTGACGCAACTGGGCACTCGCAGGGACCATTTGTTTATGTGCAGGCGGACGTCCTCCTCTTTATCCAAAAACCCATCAACTGGCGGCATGTCTTCTATCGATTCCTCGTCCGATCCGTCCCAGTTGATGCGGCTTAACCCATCTACCCTGTTCTTGTTCCCTGGGATCCTTTCCAGCTCGAAATTAAACATTCAAATGTAGGTCAACCATCTTGCGACGGTTGGGTCAGATGGAGTATCTCAGGGAACATGGCAGTGCAGTAGGGTCCACCCTCAAGATGAGCCTCCTGCCAAAAACATAGTTCCGGAAGGTCCTTAGACAATGAAGTACCGCCAGCGTCTCCTTCTTGAACTGAGAGTAGTTCCTCTCAGCTGTATTCAGGGTACGACTTTCGAATCTTAGCGGCCTCTCCTTCCCCTCAATATCTTCCTTAATCAGGACCTCTCCCAGGGAAGTTGGCGTAGCGTCCGTCTCAATGATGAATGGTCTTTCCTCCGTGGCCTCATAGTTTGACGCTCCCAATACCAAGCCTCCTTCCCTAAACTTTCCCTTCATCCTACCGACTGCCTCTTCCTGGTCTTCGCCCCAGACCCATTCTTGATCCTGGCGCACCAACTTTCTTAAATGCTCCGTCTTTGTGGCAAAGTCCTTCATGAAGCTCCTCCAAAATTCGCACGTCCCAAGGAAGCTCCTCACATATGTTAAGCGGAAGGTTACCGGCCACTCGAGAATCTTGTCTGTCTTCTTTACATCAAGCCTTCGCCCACTCTCATTACAGACAAAGCCTAGAATCGTGGCCTCCCTCATACAATGTTTCGACTTGGGGCCGCTCGCCGTCAGGTTATGTTCCTCCAATAACCCCAGAACCTGATAGATGTCTTGGACATGCTTCCAGACAAAGCGCCGCACACCGGGCATCACTTCATCTTCCTCCTTCTCCTTCGGACCTTTGACCGCCAGGTCATCGATATAGGGCTGAGTGATATGTGGGCTGATCGTCTGCATGGCTCTGATCATATGCCTTTGCACCATCGCCACTGCATTCGTCCAACCTTGAGGCGCCACGCTCATATGAATCAGCCCTCTGGGAGTGTGCATTGCCGTTACGGACCTGTCTGGCGGGTATACGGGGAACTGGTCATACCCTGAGTAGAGGTCTATAAGCAAGATTATAGGTCTCCCTGCGCACGATTCTGACAATGCGTCCGCGTTCGACAATCCTCCCGAGTCCCGCACTGTCACCGCATTTAGTCGTTGCAAGTCCTGCACCCACCTTAGCGTCTCATTTGGTTTAATATAACAAAACCAAGGCGACGCGTACGGCCCACTGGAATAATCGGCCACGTGCGTCCGCATCTTGCCGTCCAGGTAGTCCACCACCATCAATTCCTCGTCCCGATTGGGTACCGCGCGCCCCTTAGATTCCATTGCTCGTGTGGGACCGTGTGGATCCTAATCATCGGGATCTTGTGCACATCCAGCCTCCCACGCTCGTCGTCGTTAAATGCATACGCGCGGTGCCTTTTCTTCATCAGCCCCACCATCAACGCTCTCTCCTAGGGCGACAGAAAGTCGGGCTCCTCGATTATCAGCTTCGCCTCATTTTCGTCGTTGATACGGCATAGCCCGACCAACGCGTGCTCCCGCATACGCCGTATCAACCCTCGCTCCCGCTCGTAGTTGGCTTCCTCATCCTCTGTGACGAGCACAGGAACTGGGCGACACTTCTTATCTATGGTCTTGTACCGCCTTTGGGAACCCTGCTTAAGCCCTCCCCTAAAAAAAGCCGACTTGTCTCTCGAGCCTGGGCCATCGCTGGGCCTCCCCTCCCTCCCGGAAGCCGATACACCAACTCCACCTCCCCCACCTGAGGGTTCTCCAAAACCTGTTCCCTCAATGCCTTAATGGCCTCCGGATCCGCCATGTCGTGAGCCGATACCACCTCCATGGCCTTATTCACATCCGCGAGGCTCAATGTCAGCACCTCAGCCCTATCTTCGTCCTCGGGCACTTCCCAAGGCCGTCTCCGCTCGTTCTCTGACTCCTCAAAGGTGAACGAGCCTAGATTGGGCCTATTCCTCCCGCTCCCCGGCCCCGTGTTCCAACAGGTGATAACTTCATAATTCCCACACGCCGGGTCGCACAGGAGCAGGATCATTGTTCCGTCGTGCTTGTTGAAGATCAACATTTCCGTCCGACACAGGAACGACCGCCCCAGAAGGATGGGGTGATCGACATCGGGCATAACGAAAAAGCAAGTCCTGGCTCGCACCTTCCCAATCTCTATAATCACATTTGACGCTGTGCCGCAAAAGGCGGCCTTGCAGTTAGCGCTGTGTAGCATGCCATGGTCTGAGCGGTCGATCTCCATGCCTATCATCACTGCCTCCTTCTCCCTGATGATGTTCATCTCTGCGCCCGTGTCCAGCATCCCAGTACACTTCTGGTTCCTTATCACCAAATCCACCTGCCCGCACGCCACACATTTCCAATCCATCCTTGTCCCTGCCTCACTCCACTCCACCTCTCTAAGCAGGACCGTACTCAGATGGACATTTGGCACCAGCCTTCGCGACAGTCGTCCCTTCAACTCACCACGGAGGCTTGGCGCCGAAGCCAGGATGTCCTTTAGTTTCATCATGTCATTATGGCCTTTCAGGAGTTTGTCCACCATCCGCTCCACATCAAAGCCTTCCTCCATCCGGACCGCGTACTTCTTCCTCTTAGGCACGCTGTCGGGCAGGCTTGGCTCGGCCTCCTCCTGGGCCCCTCTCTTTTTGGCCCTCAGCTCCGCCCGCTGATCCTCCTCTTGTCGGAGCCTCTCATCCTCTTTATCGTCATCCTCTTCCTCTTCCTCCGGAACCTCCACCACCTCCTTCCTACGTCCAGGCTCCGGCTCCTTTCGAGGGGGTGCCTGACTGGGCTCTTGACTGGGCTCTTGACTAGGCCCAGCCTTATTTTGGCTCCTGGTTCGAGCCGCCTGCGACACCCTCCCATGCGACGTGGGGGGTCTATAGGTCATACCTGACCCTGGGGCCCGTCCCTACAGTCGCCACTCTTGGGCACCCTTGTTGTCCTGGCGAAGGCTCTGACCCGGAGTCATAAAGGAAGACCTCAGGCAGGTTGGCCTCCCACTCTCGGGCTTCTTCACACAGGGCTTGCAGCTTCCGCTGGTATCTCCCCACCTTTTCCAGCAGATCTTCCATCCTTCCCAGRAGGAGTGTGGMCGRCTCTCCYTCGCCTTYCTGCCCCTCATCGTCCRATTYGACGACTATTGGCTCCTCTCTTATAGTCCCCGTCTTAAGTCGCTGAGTGACCTCCTCGCTATCTCCCACAATCTCCTCAACTTTTATGGCCAACTCTCCTTTCTCCTGCCACATCCTGAACATGGCCGGGGTTGCCGATGGCCCTGCCGCCGCTCGCCTAAGAGCTTCTTGCCTGATTCCTCCCGGGGTTCTAGGGTCGATATGCTCTCCCCACTTATCGTATATATCCCCGTCCATACAAGAGGAAATTAAACCTGCCAACTCATCATCTCGTCGCCGTTGGCAGAATCGTATAGTGTGGCCCACCTCGCCACAATGCCAGCAGGTGGCGTTTCGCCAATCAAAGCGGGGCCTCCCATACCGTTGCCCCCCCCCCTGGCCACCTCGGCCACCTTGGTTCTGACCCCCCTGACCATTCCAACCACCCCCGCGACCCCCACCATTTCCTCCTCGGCCTCGGCCGCCACCTCCTCGACCCCCTTGACCTCGGCCTCCATTGCCTTATCCGCCTTGTCCTTGGTTTCCTCCACCGGCCACGCTAACCTGCGAGGCCTGTTGGGAGGGAGGTGGTTGGGCCACAAACTGACCCTGAGCCGCAGGGTAGCTCGGGGGCCCCATACTTGCCGTTGGGCCCGCATAAGGGACCATTTGCTCGGGCTGAGTCTGACTACCCCCGTACAAGGCGCAGTGATTACAACTGGGCCAGGACGTAGGTTGACAATGTGGCACCCAATGCCCACAAGCCAGCGGCGGCCCCATACACGACGGCCCGGCCGTCGCTGACGTTGGCGTGGGAGCAGGTGGTGGCGCAGCAATCGCTTGCGGGACCTGCCCTTTTCCGAATCCTTGACCCCCCACTTGTAAATTCCGTTGCTTCCTCTGGGCCTTGGTTAGGATCTGGGAGCCCGTCTCTTCTCCGCCATAGTCCTCGTGCCTATCCTCCTCTTCCACTGCCCCCGACGCCCGGCCTTGGGCCACAGTCACTCCCCTCTTCTGCACTTCCGCCTCATTATCATACCCCAGAGCTGCCAATACGTCCGTGACGATCCTCTTCACCCCTGGGGTCCCGGACGCGGTGGCGTCCCTTTCCTTTCTCTTGCGCCTTTGCAGCCGCACCTGATGTTGCTCCACCTGGTCCAGGCTCCCCTCTTTCACCCCTTTGTCGATAGTGGCCCAGGTGAGTTTCTCATTTCCCCCTCCGTGACAGGTCAGCTCCGAGGCCTCCGAGCCAGTAAGCAGACCCAAAAATATGGCACACTGCGTTTCTTCGGAGATCTCGTGCACCTTCCGCGCCTTCCTTTTAAACTCGTGCACAAACGCCCCAATCGTGGAGAAGTCATCCTTATTCATGGCCTCCAAATCCGCCATGGTTAGCAAGCCATCCCCCAACCTGTACTTTCTCTGCATCATGTCCCTGAACCTCGCCCAACTACCATTGGCGGCATCCACGACCTTGCCCACTTCTTGATGGTGGCTATGAAGGACATATCTTAGGACTCGCTGGAGCTTTACCTCGTCCGACAGCCCCACCAGTGCTTGCTCCGTCAGGTCCAGCCAGTCGGACACCCGTTCTCCCTTGAAGTGGAAAGTATCAACCTTCGGGATATTGCTCGGCGCTCTCTCGCGCTTATCCAGGGCATCGATGAGGTCGTCGAGCATTACAAGCTTTCTCCCACCGTCCGCCATCTCCTAAGGCATTTTGATTACCTGCCTTCGACTTCAATCCCCCTGTTATAAGAAGCGATAGGACGAAAGGTTCCACTCAGCAGTCCATTCCTTCACGATCCTATCGGACCGACCACCTAAGCACCCGACGCTCTGGACCTGGCAGACATCTCTCTCTCTACTTCCTACCTCCCTTGGGTTCACCTAAGTAAGACCCATTCTCATCACAGAATTCACTCACATACTCACCTCGTTCATGTCATCAACCAAACCACCAATCAGATCAACATTCACACCCACACAGCCATATAGACTACTATACGATCCATCTCATAGTTCTTCTCTTATTTGCTCACATGCCTAGTTCTCTCTCATTCTCATACCCGGATGTCGTTCCACCCGGGACAACCATAGGCTTCCGTCATCCCCGACAACGGCGCCACTTGTCGAGCGCATCGGTCCGGCACCGCACGTGGCAGCGCGGGACCCTCTCGGCCGCGTCACGCACGAGTTGGACCAACCTCGTCGCGAACACACAAATGAAGCTTCCTTAGGCCGCTCCGGCCGAGTGCGTCAGCCATACCTCTCGCGAGCCCCTACGACAGGATAGGGCCTACGCGAGGCACAACTTACCTCCACCTTACGGGAGCTGTCACCTCCCTTCGGTGGGCNCTACGCGAGGCACAACTTACCTCCACCTTACGGGAGCTGTCACCTCCCTTCGGTGGGCGTATCCCCGCCGAGCTACCAGTCCACAGTACGAAAGTTACTCGGTTGCAATCGCAGAGGTAGACCAGCCGAGGGTGTTTCTCATTTGCTGTAGCATAGGGGGTACGCGCAGTAATACGCCTATCGGATCCGCACGCGGGCCGACATCTTGGGGGGGCTGAAGTCCCAAGCGCGGCTCGACGTCGGTCGACTAGGACGCATCCCACACACCACACGCACATCACTTTACGAACACAAAAACAAAACATACGCGCACACATACATTGCACAAACGACACAACACGAACAACGTGACAGCGCTCCTAGTCCCTCGGTAGCCAACCCATAACTTTCCAATGCGGAAATCGGATAGGCGTCGCGCGCGAGACTTAGTATAAAACTACGCGGACGCAGGGCTAACTCATGTCGACTCGCAATGCCGACGTACGCAAGCAGTCACAATGATCACGTACTATGTCGTGCCCATAATCGTGCGGCCCTCGTTAATTTCGAGGGTCTCATTCGACACTCGAGTGTCGGCTGACACACACCTTGAGGGTTAATCTCTCGACGCTAGACAACCGCCGTGCGCGGTTGGAGACCACACCCTCTTCTGCACCCTGTGCAGAGGGGTTGAGTAGACAACTTTAAGCTGTCGTGGCGGTCAAACATCAAGGGGTTTGATTTAGACGGCCCCCACGGACTATAACGTTCAACCATGAAAGCAAAAAGGAGACTCACTCCAACCCCCATTAGATGATGGCCCTCTAAAATGGAAAGGGGGTGGATAACCCCAAATGACGTGCGCGCGGAGGAGGTCCGGTATCCTATCCATAGGCTACCCGGTGTCCGGGATAATAAGGTCCGTACACGGACCCCCAAAGGCTGACCGGAGCTAGTTCTCCGCCCACGTGCTGCTTCACGTTACCAAGACCCCAAATTTACTGGCCGTGTCGCGCTCATGATCTCGCCGCCTGACCCCTTACTCTCTTAGTGCGGGGTGCGAAGAGTGCCGCGCGCGAACTTGGTATAAGATCGCGAGGGCGCTGGACTTACACATACTATCTCGCTATGCAGTTCTAGGTGAGTAACCGCGATGACAGCGCATTGTGTAGTGCCCACACCCAAATGGCCTACTCTGAGCTAAGGGGTCCCCTTTCGACGCTCAGGCGTTGGCTGAAGCGCGAGCCAATGGGGGTAACCCTTTAACGCGCGCAAAACCGGCCTGAGGGTCTTTCCCTCTTCTGCACCCTGAGGTGTCCGAACGGGAGCGGAGCAAGACGGCCTCTAGGGCAGGAGGGAGTTTGGAGCGGTGGTGAGTTGTCTGACGCATCACCAGCAACACGCTGACCCTTCCGCCCGGAACTTTATCGTTCCGCCAAGATGAATCGCAACAAGGAAAAGAAACAAGAATTGGCGAGGGATATCCCCCCCCCCCCCCTTCTGTTCACCCC